AACTAGCCCTTCTATTCTCTTTAGCCCTGATTTAAAACATTGTTTCAATGACAGAAAACAGACACTACATTGTGAAAGAAGTAGGCGTAACCTTTTCTAAGAGAATAGAAAACCTCAAGGAATATAAATTCGTATATGTCGTGTTGACATTTGAAAGTACATTTTCATAGTATTACAGTACTTGAACTTGAACTGAGTTCTGTTTCAGTTTACCAGTCCGCGAAGCGGACATTTTACACTTTCATCTGAAGTTGTGCCCGTGGGCACCTGTAATGATGGCATTGCAAGTGGATAATGGTGGTGAATTGCGGTGGCGGTGGTCAGATTAAATCTACATTTTATCTATACGCATAAAATAATAACATGATTAAATAACACTATCTGATGGTTAAGATTGATTCTAGTATTACAGTACAGAGATGACAACTTGGATCCCTTAGTAAAAAATATTTTTTAGTGGTAGCGAAATTTAAGTAAATTTTAGTTTAGTATTTTTAATTTTATATAATTTTTCCACCACTATATATCGAAAATTCAGAGTATCTGCATAAATACTGTATAAATGTGTAAATACATTTGATTGTGCTACCAATTTAGTAAGACTTTAAGAAAAAAGCTCTCAGTGGTTTCTGATCGTCCCTGGTATTACAATTTTTCTCTTCAAAAAGTGGGCGTAACCTTTCATGAGCAAAGAAACTTCTCTATGCGAATGGTTGGGTTAGGAGGATGTTTGCAAGATTTAGTATTTAAAAAAATATACTTATATCCTATCTAATCTTTCGTAATTTTTTTCCTATTTATATTCGTTTTTTTCTTTTGTTGTGATGTCAAAAAAAATTAATAATAAAGAAAGGAAATAAAAGATCTGAGTCAATATATTATATTTTTATTTTTCACAACACTTAGTAAAAAAATTTTTCGTTTGCTGAAATCTGTGTATTTTAATGCGTGAAAGAAACATTTCTTTTACTATTTACATCCGTTTATAGTTAAATTAAAAATAATAAAATAAATGAGTTGGCAATTGAATATTTTACACATTGGCACAATTTTATACTTTATGTCATGCAGAGTACATGAATAAATAATTTTGTATTGTAATTTTAATCGAATATTAATGCTATATTTTTACAAACACGATATTTTTTACTCTAAATATAGAGATGCTTTTATAAGAAATGTTTTTTTTAATACGAAATGAATTAAATTTTTATGTGTCATGCTGAGATTTGAAAGCACATTTTAATTGTATGTTTATTAGTTTATCTATTTATCTAAGAAATGATCTATTTATTTGAAAAATTCTTATTTTAAAACAAATTCAAGCTGACGTTTAACGGTTAGGCTGTCAAACTTCTACCAGAGTGGTTTAACCCTTTTGAAGGCCGTGGTAAGTATACTTACCACCACGTTTTACCACTTTTAATTTAGTTTCCATATTGCAATAACTTCAGCTTTCTTGAAGTGAGTTTGAATAAAATTGGTAACCATTTGTCACCTTTAAAAAACGTATAAAAGTTATAAATCACATAATTCCTTTTGAAGTTTGTAGCATTTAAGGAATTTATTTTATAAATAAGGAAAAATAAAGGTCAGTAAGTTCCTAATAGATCATGTTAAATATATTTCCCACCAAAAAAATGACATTTTTAGAAACTAAATGAGTTTTTTTTTCATATCAATTACTGTTCTTAAAACAATTTCAATTCCAAAAATACTTTAATTTACCTTTACTAGAAATAAAGGGTCCGTTAAAGGGTTAAATTCTAGCTGGGACGAATGATTTTTATCTTTTAATTTTCTTTTTCTTAAAAAGTATATAATAGATAAAAATTTTTTTTTCAATTTATTAAATAAAATATTTTAATTACAAATTATTTTTAACTTTTTAAAACAAAAAAAAAAGTAATACATATTTATTTCTTCTATTATTAATAAACCTGATTAGCCTTAAGTTGTACTAAGTTTATCTTTTCTTGATAAGTATAAGTTTTGAGGAAATTTTGTTGTTAGATTTCTATAATTCGAATGATCCTGTAGCATTAAATTTATCGAACTGCAGACATTGAAATTTTTCGATATTGCATCACTATTGGCTAATAGTTTAGGATGCAAATGTTTGTTCCTTATCTTCCGAGTGGGAGAATAAACACCTGTAATTTGGTGTGTTGCTAAGTTCCTTCAATTTCCTTTCTTTGCACTACTTAACTTATATGAAAGTAACATGTCAATAAAAGGATTCATACTATTGGTTTTATTTTGCTTTTGCTGTAAAAGTAAGTTTCATTTTGCAAAATTTTTATTCAACTCGGGGATAAGTTGTGAATAGCAACAAAAGTATTTAATAATTCTGACTTAAAATTACTTTGTTTCGATTATGTGTTGCTGCAGAAATGTGTGGTGGCATTTATTGCTATTTAATATTGAACGGAACATAAAATGTTGAAGTCAGCTTTACTAGTAATTGATGATATATTATTATTATTATCATTATTTTGGTATTCGAAATTGGCTATGCATTATAGGGGTCATTTTCATAAAACTTGAATTTATGATAATTCATGGTTTTTAGTAATTTTAATTGAGGAATTAAAATTCAAAATAACATTTTTAATTATCCAAATTAGTTTATTATATGCTTTTAGTAAATGTAGATACATAGAAATTAGTATTAAAAAAATATTATCTGTGCAATATTTTTTTAGTACATTATATACAACTAATTTGCTGTACCTCTCTATTGCCAGCATAATAAGTTCAATGTTTTAATGTTCATTTGATTTTTAATGGTTAGATCAAATTTCTTTTCTCAGTTTTATTTAAACCTTTCTTCTTTACCATTTCATGGTAACCTTCTGCTACAATTTTCATGGTAGCCTTATTCATTGACTTTTATGATTTGGTATTTCATTAATTATCAGGTTTATTAGAAGAAATATAGCTAAGTATTAATATTTGCAATGCAAGTTATTTGCAATCCAAGAACATTTAAAATCAGCTCTAATATCAGCTTTCCACTCTGTTACCTACCATTTATTAAGCTACATTTCTCTATGTAATTTAAATAAAGTAATTTTAGTGATTTACAGTGTAAATTTGATTAAAGCATAAATTGTTTACTGTTTCAGGTATTTTTTATTTTATTAAAACGCTTTTGAACTTTCGTAACAGAGGGAAACATAATGCAGATGCAAGTTAATGTTTTATTTTAAGTTTAATATCAAAAAGTGTACATATGGTTTAAATTGTAGGGACAAGAAGCACTCCAAATACGTCTGAAATTTTTACAAATAGTGATTATTTTCAAAATAAAATTTTTCTAATTGCATCTTTATTTTGAAAATGGCCTATATATCCGCGTCTCTTAAGACATCCTCCTTGTATTTTGTAAAATACTGAGATGATACCTAAAAATATACATTATTTTTATTTAATTATTAGCTGGATATCTGGGGTGAATAATAAAAAAAATCAATGAATCAGTACTAACCAACACTATGAAATCATGCACAAAGCTGAATTACTCGGTACCATTACCTGGTACCATACATTTACCTGGTTTTCCCACTAAGCTTATCAATTATTAAAACTAAAATATTTTAATCTCCTTATTCATTATTACCCTTTTCGAGGGCTTTACGTTATTAAAAGAAAAACACACTTTTTTTGTAGTTTAGTAAGGTTAATAAAGATGGTCCAAGCAAGTAAATTCAATATAATAACTAATGACAGGTTAAAAAAAAGTTAAGAACACCAGCAGAAAATTCGGGCTTGGAAGTTTAGTTTAAATGCTCTTTGGGGCAAGCCAATTCTTCAGTGGTTTGGATGTGTATTATAATTAAAAAGCATTAGAAGTTTACTGCATGCATAATGCTTCTTATTTTGCAATGTCTACTATTTCTTTTTTCTTCTTTCTTTTTTGAAGCACTCGCCTACACTTGCAATAAAGACTTCATATATGATGCTTCTAAAAGAGGTGAAATAAAAAGTCCAAATTATGGTTCTGGCACTTATGTGAAAGGACTTCGTTGTTCATACAAAATACAAGCTCCAGAAGGTTACGTAAGTAAAACACTTTAAACTAAAGAATAAAATGGCCTTGTTTGATTGTATAAATAATTTAAGCAGTTACAAATATATATAAACTCTTTTTTCACAGCTCCAATGTGTTTTTTCTAAATAAACATTATAATAACCGTTACACAATTAGGAATCGGACAGCAGATTAGCATAAAATCTGATTATATGGTAAGGGGTATTTTTCCTGGTATGGTGGTTACTAAATAATTGAGGCTAACGACCCCTTAGAACTGACATAATTTTAATGACGAACACAAATAAACATACACAAAATACTAACACGACAAACACAATACCTATTTGTACGACATTTTAAAGCAAACTAAACTGCTTAAAACATTCACTAATCTTATTAAAATGAAATATAGATGGCAGCACACAATTCTTTAAACAGAAACATGTCTTTGCTGTTCCGGTAAATTGAAGTTGGGGTTCCAGTTGTTAAGCCTTCAATTAATTAGGTTTTTCCTAATATCTAGGAATTTCATGGAAATGGAGAATCTTACTGGTAGAACGACAATTCTAAGCTGTGGTATTAGTTTTACAGTTTTTAAGATTTTATAGATTTTAGTTTTTTTTTAGCAGTCTGCTTAGAGTCTTTGCCAAAACCTTATATAACATTTCTGGGACAAGTGAAAACCACGTTTTCGGATCAGGTAAACAAGTTCGTCATCTATAACTGAACTAGTTACATTTTGTCAGCAGAAATGGAGACAAATACCCATAGCTAAGAAAAAAAAACCTTTATGAAAGTGTATCCTGAAAAGTTTTCGACACAACAAAACACGAAGGTTCATCTTCAAATTAAAAATTGTTTTCATCCTCTCATAGCATCATATCCGCTGTCCGCTTCATAATTGTTAAGTAGAGTGTATATTAAATGCTATCCGTAGTATGCCAGTGTAAAAAGAGTATGCTCAATGTTAAAAGAATATGATCAATGTTCAGAGAATATGATCATATTTTAAGGGACTGGGGAGGGACATTTAAAGTAAAATGTTTAACTCGTTTCATTTTTAAAATTTAAGAACACATTATAATCGCCTATAAGTATTTAGGGTAATCAGTCATTCTGCTACGTTTTTAAATGAAGTGATTTTTGATGAATTATGCATCTTCTATACAGTTTCGTGATGTTATATGCTGTCTAAAGTTGATTTTTCTCATATGCATTAAAAAGTAACTTAATATTTTCTTTATATAGACTGTTCATTTTATTGTTCCTTTGGTTTATAAAATTGCACTTCTTAAGCAAAATATATATATACATATATAAATTTTAAACTTTAAATTCTATTAGCTTCCTTTTGGTTACATACTTACATACTTACTTGGTTACATATTTATTTTGGTTTAAAATGAAAGAAGTATTCAAGAAACAATACCTCACTTACAAGAATATAAAAGGCGTAAACAAATATGAGTAAAATTTTTTAAAATTTTTTTATTGTAAAAATGTAGGAGGCTTAACAAATTTGTAATTATCTGTCTGGTAACAAAGATACATGCAATATTCGGGTAAAATAAATAAAATAAAATGAAGCATTTCAGATGAAAAATGTAATTTCGTGTATGCCAATTTCTCACAACCATGCTAATTTCCAGAAAATATATCATTGCATTTTCATAAAATTGTTTTGAAAAATTATGAAGTATATGATTTAAATAAAAACCCCTGAATGCAAATTTCTATCTTAGACCAATTTTTTGTTGTTCAAATAACATCAGATTAATAGCTTCATCATGTAAGCAAACTTCTTCGTAACCTTCACAATAGATAGTCAAGCTTCTGTGAGATTATTGAGATCAACTTAAAATATAGAGGAAATAAAGCAAACAGTGGATGCTATAGAGAAAGTGAAAAATTGAAATATAAACGTAAAATAGGAGAAGAAAGGCATCATAAAAATTGGAATTTAGCAATTTTATTTATATACTTTTTATATTTTATTTATTTACTTTTAATTAATATTGAAGTTAGATTATTTCGCCTGATCATAATAATAACAAAAACTAAAATAAAAATAATAAAAGAAGACTAAAATGTGAAAATAAAAATTCTTTTTTTTTTTTGTCTAACCTAAAAAAACGTAGGAAATTTAAATTCTTAGAGAGGGAAAGGAATTTTTGTTAATAGCGAAGTTTATTACAAAAGTGCCCTTCGTTTTAAAGGAATAAGCGATTCCCGAAGCTTCGTTTTGGGCTATGTGGAGGTTAAGGCATCACAATTTTAAGACCAACGACATGATTGTGGCTGGGTTCAGCATTGTGCACTGGCTGCCTTTACTTCTCAGACATGGTAGTACCTATCGGACTCGAACGCCTGTCAAGCGTTTTGATCATTTTAGCCACCAAGGCTCACGCGTTTCTCTTTAGGTCTGGCAGAAAAACACAATTATTTTTTTTCTTTCTAGTCTTCCACAAAAATATAATTTCGAAAATTTTTACTCAATATTTTTCATTTCAGATAGGTATAGAAGTTTATCACAATTAATAGTATAATTATTATAATAATGGTTGCTATTTCTATCATTATCATTTTCAGTGAATAATCACAATTAATAATTTCCATACCATTGCTATGAATTTCAGAGGATAAAAATAACGTTTAAGGACTTGAATTTAAATCCTTCAGAAACCTGCACCGACAGGCTCACGCTGAAAGGAAAGGATGACGTCAGCTTCTTAGGAGTATTTTGTGGCAATGTTATGCCAAATCCCGTTCTGTCTCACGAAGGTGAACGAGAAATGCAAATGACATTTGAAACTAAAGACTCAGGTGGAAGAGGATTCCATGTACAGTACGAAGCTTCACCAGATCTAGGTAAACACATTATCACTCAGTCCATTTCAAAGTTGTTATATATATATATATATATATATATANTATATATATATATAATATATTTTTTAAGGGAAGAAGATGCAAAAGAGCTACCGAAATATGTCGAATGATTTGTGAGGAGGGCTAATGAAAAACATCAAAGCCAGTTTAAATCCTTTATGATAATCACTTCTTAACTTCTCCATTTTTCCACCATCAATCATATGTGTTTTCGATTTTCAGTACCTTCTCCTTTAGATTAGGCGAGTTTATAAGAGTTTGGTTCTAACTTGCTTAAACATTAATCTGTGACCCCATACTCCCTTTAATCATTTTCGTTTCTGACGAGCATTCTAATAAAATTTGTTTCGAAGACAGATCTTTGGGATCATTTTTATAACATTTATTCCATTTCATGCCCCACTGAAAAAACCCCCCAGCTTTTTGAAGGTATCAGGGATTTCACACAGCCTTTTTAACAAGAAAATTAGTAGATACTTTCATTTAAAAACATACATAATTATGGGTCGTTATTTTCGAAAGAATAATAACTTGAATAAAGTAGTTGAAAGGGAATAAAGAATAAATATCCAGGCATGAAACTTAAGAAACAAAAAAATCAACTCTGTAACATTTTAAATTTGAGAAAAATTCTCTTAACAATTCAAAAAGGTTACATAATCTTTTAATGAAATTATAAGTTTTTTACAGATAAATACAGCTGTCAGCAAACATTGAACATTGAGCTTATGTTTCTTTACTATAAACATATTCATATTTTTTTAACTACATGATTTGAACTTATGCTTGATAACTTTTTTTATTAGCTTCGTATGCTATTTATTTATTCAAATGAATGATTAAGTTTACAAAGTTTTCAGTCCAATTAAGAAAGATTTGATATTTTTAAGAAATGTACAGCTTCCAGAATTTTTGTTCTTTAAAATGTCATGTTTGAAACCTGTTAACCTATTATGATAACCTATGATGACAAACTTGACGACAGACACGATACTGCTAAAAAGGTCTTGAAAGTGTGTTATAAAACATCTATAAAACGTGTAAAAATTATAAGGGCTATAGCAACTAAATTGACTATTTTCATCTTAACCGGTCAAAAGAGGTCTAAACTAAAAATAACTAAAAAAAAATAATAGCTGTAAAAAACATTTAAGTAGTATTGAAAAAACATACGTGTTTGACTTTTTTTTAAAATTATATCTATTCATATAGCAAGATTTATTTTCCTTTTCTTCCAATTTTACAAATGACACAAGATTTTCAAAAAAAACCCTTTAAACTTATTTATCTGATACAAATATTTTATTTTTACGTTCAATAGTACTGTATTACATGGATAAATTGGCGAATGGATCGACACCTTTACCTAAATTATCGAGTAGCTTAAACCGAATTCGACGTACCTGCAAAACCTTGTATACTCACTTCCAAATCAAATCCAGAGCCAGTGATACACGTTATTAAATGATGTTTTTCATGATTTCTCTAAGGATGACTAATTTTTTGTCTGGGGGTGCTTAGTTGTAAACTCAGAATTGGGTCGGGTGTTCAGTACAAAATAAAATTCTTTTGCTTCTAATGTAAACAAAATTTTCTATTAACAGTGTGGATTTTTATAAATGTCTTGTATTTTAGAATTTATTATAGTAATTTTTACTTTATTTTTTGGAAAAGATAAATAAAATGAAATCTGCCGAATCGTCTTTTCAGAACTATGCGGAGAGGAACAAGGTCTGTGCAGGAACCGCAATTGCTACGAAATTAAACAGCGATGCGATGGCAAAGATGATTGTGGAGATGGAACTGACGAAGAGGCGTGTGGTGAGTAAGATGATAATTTGCAATAATAGCAATATTTCGCACTTTTACGTTACCTTCCGTAAGCTCCTGTACTTTCCCGTACGTCAGATAGAAGCAACTGCACATGCTCGTGTTTATTTTAGACTAGCCGCCTAAAGCAGTGTTCCCCAACCTTTTTATCACCGCGGACCTGTCAACGGTTGATAAATTTACCGCAGCCTTCTGGGGGGCGGGCGTTGATTGTTTATATACTAGATTATTTTGATGTATTAATTTTAATTTGTATTTAAACATGCCTTCAAAATAAAATACAGTTACACCAAAAAGTAAATCTGAAGTGAGTTAACATTTTAACTTACTAGAACGTTAAATCAATGAGAACCCTGAGCTTGTTTCTTGGCAATGAGACGGTTCCATCTGGGGGTAATCCGAGACAATGACTCCCGAAGTGTATTGTTTATGTACAGTTTATTCCGTCGCTTTGTTTTGAATGCTACTACTGCAGAAAACCCCGCTTCACACAGATAGGTTATCGGAAATGGCAATAAGGATTTAAGTGCTGTAATGGTAATCTCGGAGTATTACGCCATATATTCTGCCAATCTCGGGGTATTCTATTATTGGGGCCCCCTTTTTTTTTAAATAAATAAAATTTTAATGGAACGTAGATATTTTTAATTTGGGGTATAAACCTAGGAATTTAAATTCAGTTTCAATGAAATGGGCGGCCCGGTACTATTTGATCCACGGACCGGCACCGGTCCGCGGACCGGGGGTTGGGGAACACTGGCCTAAAGGTCTGATTTCTTAGGACAAGCGCATTATCTGAGCGTCAACGGGACGTCAACGTCCCGCTGACGCCAACAAAATACTGGTTTGTTAGCTCAAGGCCTGGTTTCTTAGAACTAGCGCCTTATCTGGGCGTCAGCGGAAAGTTGACATAGAGCTGACGCCAAAAAAATACTTTNAAAACAATATTTTACTGTTATCAGCGGGACGTTGACGTCACGCTGACGCCCAGATAAGGCGCTTGTCCTAAGAAACCAGACCTTTAGAAGACGATAAAGTATAGATTCTCTTACAAAATGACTGACAACTAAAAAACTAATCCAAAGTTTTGAAAAAGAAAAAAAAATACTTCTTCATTATGTCAAAACACAATTATGTGCCGAGTTTCGTGCCTGGGCGAGGCTTCTGGGGCGTATATTGTGATTACAATGTTACGTATCTTTACGTTATATTAACAAACGGATTTTTGCAAAATCTCTTATTTTCATTAACGCAAGTTCGATGTCTTTTCAACGGGCATGCGCCTTTTACATGAACTGACGAATGCGCACTAGACATTCGCATGTGCAATTGGGTATAATATGAAAAAAACACAACTACTTCGATTTAGTAGGAACAACATATGACGCAATGCTAAACGAATGGAATTTAGTTGTTGTTTATTTAGTTATTGTTATTAGTAGTTGTTGTTATTTGTTTTAGTTGTTTATTTAGTTGTATTTAGTTTCAATAACTTTTCTTTATAATGCAATAAAATCTGGCGAGCAGCTATTTAAACGATCAAACACTTCGTTTGTTTATTTGTGGCTTGAAGTTAGGCTCGCAGAAAATGCCGTTCATGGGTTAAATTTAGTAGGAACAACACAACCTGTGACGTAGGCTATATTATACCCAATTGCTTGAATCTTAAGTACAGGAGCTTATAGAAGCTAACGTAAATTTGCGAAATCTCCCTACATAGCTCTCAACTTGTAGGGTCGTAAGGAAAGGCCTGTAAAAGGAGTGGAATAATAATACTTTTGGTATAATAAATTTTTTAAAGCCTTTTTGCAAATATTTGAAAATATAGTTGCTTAACTAAAGTCTTAATTTAGCATAGTTGCTATAGTTGTGTAACTGAACTCTTGACTTAGCACGGTAACAATTCAAAATTTTGTCCAGAGAACCTAAAATATATTCAGAGCTCTTAAGACTGAAATATCAGATTGATATTTTAAAATAGTTTAAACAAATAGAAATGATTGCATAAAAATAAAAACTAATAGGAATGACTACGTAACCCTGATTGCGTAACACTAATAATGTGTAAAAGTTATTGCATTAATAACACTGGGGAATGAATGTTTTGTCGTATTTATATAAATACTTAATCTAGCCTGGTTTGGGTTTGATGATTGCAAACCTGAAACTAATTTTGCTTCTAAAGCTACAGGTTTTTTTTTAATTTATAAAAATGACATTTTTAGTCCATTTTTTATATAAATGAACAATTTTCAAAATGTTATATAAAATAGTGTTTCTTAAATGTTGAAACTAACTTTTAGTGGAATTAGAGCACATCATCAGGATTAAAATTGCACAGGAAGGCCTGTAAATATCGTTGTACGCGATTAGGGACGCTTTCTTATAATGATTCGTACAGAAGCACCTGAAGAAACTATTCATTATGGGGAAGAGTTCCTAGGGGCGTATTGTGGCATGTCCGCCGTATTGTGACATATGTTCTTATGCAGTTTTAATCCTGAATTATATGCCTTAACTCCTCTGGAAGTTTGTCGCAAAATTTACGCTACTCCCTGTTATATATAATGTTTTATATGCTTTCATAATGTTTTTAAAATGTTAATGTTTAATGTTATAGATATTTTTAAACTATACTAAAAATGTCATTAAAAAAAAATATTTAGTTTGGCTTGAGAAACTGATTGCAGATTTGAAATCAGACATGCGAAGGTATCTAAGACCTGTCTAAAAATCTCGTGCAACAGAAAGAAAGAAAGAAACAGAAACAAAAAAAAAAAATTGTTCCCCGGTGTAATTATTCGAAGTGATTGCATAACGGTAACAATTAATAGGAGTGATGTTGATAACTATTCTCTTTCAACAGGTAAACCAGTTGCTCCACCGTCCGATGATAATTGTGGTAAAACTCCTATCGTACCTAAGACCGTATATACTTCTCAAGATCACAGCAAATTAGTTGCGGCTAAACCGAATAGCTGGCCATGGCAAGTGTCATTGCAGTACATTGAGTTTGAACCAAATGGACACTTTTGTGGGGGCACTTTGATCAGTCCTCAGTGGGTGATTACTGCTGCCCATTGTTTTCCAGGGTAATTATTTTATTTCTTTAAGCGGAAAAGACGTAACTTTAAAAAAATTAGGAGAGACTTTGGAATTTTTTCTTTTCTTGTTCTATGCAAGAATTTTTTTTTTGTTTGCGGAAAGTATAGTTTCAAAAAGCAAATAGTTCATTACTATAAGTAGCGAACATAAAAACTGATTATTTTCTTTCGCTAAATTAAAAGAAAGCTATAATGAATTTTTTGCTATACTTTTTTTTTATCGAAAGCTGTGAGTAAGAATGTTGTTGAAAATTTTACGATATTTTCTTATAATTATTTTATTTTTTTAAGCGGAAAAGACATGACTTAAAAAATTAGGAAATACTTCGGATGCTTTGGAATTTTTTTTCTTTTCTTGTTCTATGCCAGAATTTTTTTGTTTTTTTTTGTTTCCGGAAAATACAGTTTCAGAAGGCAAATAGCTCATTACTATCAGTAGCGAACATAAAAACTGATTATTTTCTTTTGTTAAATTAAAAGAGAGCTATGATAAATGTTTTGCTATAATTTTTTTTATCGAAAGTTGTGAGAAAGAATGTTGTTAACCATTTTACAAAATTTATTTCATAATTATTTTATTTTTTTAAGCGAAAAAGACATGACTTAAAAAAATTAGGAGAGACTTTGGATGTTTTGGAATTTTTTTTTGTTTTTTTGTTCTGTGCTAGAAATTTTTTTTTGTTTGCTTGAGGAAAGTATAGTTTCAGAAGGCAAATAGTTCATTACTATAAGTAGCGAACATAAAAACTAATTCTTTTCTTTCGTTAAATTAAAAGAAAGCTATAACGAATGTTTTTCAATAATTTTTTTTATCGAAAGTTGTGAGAAAGAATGTTGTTAGCCATTTTGTGTGGAACTTTACTGTTGTGCAAGTGAAAAGACAAGCAGTTTCCGTAATTCTTTTTTTTTTAATAATATTTTTATATTAAATATATTTTTGCACTCTACATTTAATTTTCATCGTTTGAAAGCTGAAATGAAAACTGCTAATCTTCCTAAATAAAAACATCATGGCTTTTAATTGGATCGATTAATTTAATCTCGCTTTATGGAACTATTTTACCGACTTTGCTTAAATTTTTTATTTTACCATGTTAAATTACATACTTATAAAATGACGTAAAAATTGCATACGTTACAATTTGAAACTTTTTCGACTATTATTAAATGAAATAATAAAAAAAAGAAAAAAATATTTATTAAAAGTTATTTATTGCACAGAATTTTTGTTGTATAAACGAATTTTATAATTGTGTGGAAAAATGTTTCAATTTGCTTGAAAAATTCTTGAGATATAGCGAAATACGCAAACAGTTAAATTAACTTTGGATCTCATTCACTATATATCTCAGATTAAGGTTACTTTTTATATTTTGGGGGTTAGAAATTCGAATAAGTCGAATTCAGATAAAGTACGTTTTTGTGTTTTATTTCGTAACATAAAATATTGCCTATATTAATTAATTAGCATATTTGAGGTTACTCCCTCGATCCATTAAGTTTGAGCCCTAAAACGTGAAGACCCCCGATCTTTAAATCATACGCCACTTAGGGTGGTCCTTTATTTATTCATTTATTTTTTTGCACTGTACATGGAGTTTTCAATTTCTAAAAAAGAAGAAGAAAAGATTGAGGAAACATGAGAAGTGTGAACCTTTTTTAAAGAAGACATTTTCTATTTATTTGCTGACGTAAATAAATTTCCAAGTTTTTATTATTCGATAACTTATAATATTTATCATTTTAAACTTAACTTATGTATATTTTCTAAAGTTATATTTTCAAAGGAGCAGGCAAGTGCATATCGATGAATATAAGCCTATACGTTCTTTATAAACTTATACATTCAGACAAAAAATGAACTAAAATGAAGATACAGTTCGAAAAAACTATGTAACTTTCGGAACATTACCAATTTCAGATTTAAAATCCACACACCAGAATTTGGCAAGATTAAGTACTTGTATAAGAGCAACAAAAAATTTGGTCCCCAGTGTTGTTCTTCACTTTTAAAAAGTGCGTAGTGAAGGGTTAATAGCAATTTAGCAAAATTATTTGAAAAACACTTTTAAATTAAAAAAAGACCAGTAAATATACGGATTCTTAAGAAATTAATTTAAGTATAGACAGATTTCGTCTTTCCTTTTTGCATATGAGAGGTGACTTAGGCGAAAATAAATTGCAACAAGAATAAGTACTTCTCTTGGCATGAAAATGACATGCAAACATATTGTTTCTTCGCAATTTACTTGCAAATAGCTAATAGACAGAATAAAAACATGTGATTTTACTTGATACCATACTGCAATCTGGCACTTACCAGCTAAATAAATGTTAAAAAAAAAGAAAAAGATTAAGTTGGTTAAGCCTGCACTATGGTCAAACCACCCATGTTTCTCTTACATTTTTTTTTCGTTAAAATAATTACAAAACTTTTTAAGTCTTGGTTTAGTGTTTAACCGTATTTTAACAATTATATTTCAGTATCAAGCATCCATCAGAGGTTAGAATTGTTCTCGGAAGCCATTTCAAATACAACCGAACAAAATTCGAAGTAACCCGTGTTGCTGAGAGAATTATATCCTATCCTGATTTGGAGGAAGACGGTGTAAGTTTGTATAGCCCCTTCAAAGAATCACTCATTTTTAGTTTGATTATGCCTTTATAATTGCTTAGTTGCTAATGGAAGGCAATTCATACATTATTGTCGATTCCACGTAGCGTGAGAAATAAATATAATAATCTGTTCTAAATCTTATAGTATCATACTACCTTTTTTATTCCAATTTTGACAAAATTAGGAATCTTAGGATTAGAAGGTCAGGGATGCCAACTGCTCCGCTTTCTGCAGAAGTTTTAATAAATTGGTAACTAATTAAATTGCAAAACTTGTAGAATAAGGATAAATACGCCTACTCTTTAAGAGAGTAACCACTAATTTTGTATAACAAAGTTGCATTTCATATCATACATGGAATTTTTGATATGCAGTGGTGTAAAAATTATTTCAAAGGAAAAATACTGAACCAAAAATAACTTAAATTTCGATACCACTAGAAAATACTTTTTAATAAAGCGGAGCAATTTGGTATCTCTGGTAGGAAATTATAAATCGACTAAGTCAACCTTCATCCATCAAAGGGCACCTCAAGGCAGAATCGAGTTAATATGTCTTACATACTAGTGATTTGGTATTTAATAATTGTAGTGGTAGTTACACCACATTACTCCTCGTCCAGAAATTTATCTTAGATAGAACGATTACCAACCGATCATGCTGTTTATATATTCATATAAATTTCGCTCATAATTTTTTTTCTTAATTTTTTTATAGCATTTTGCCCTTTATTTTTTCTTCAATATTGTTTATTGACCGGGAGACTAATTATTTCACCGGTTTTTTTTTGGAGCAGTATATATTTAACATGTTGTATATATTAGTGATTTGGTACTTAATATTTGTAGTGGTAGTTAAGCCACATTAGGTCACTATTGTAAGGATGTATTATTACCGACCACGTCAACCTTCATCAACAATAGGTTCTTCAAGATAGAATTGAGTTAACATCTTTACTTTACTTTATTTATAAAAATTGGGCACCTGGGCCGCGCAGCGGCCCCTATCCCATACATCTAGAAATTTACATAAGTTTAAAGTGATAACATTTTGAATTTAGCAGTCGATGTGGTTGCTAATACAAAATTACAAGCACTTTGCTTGGGTAAATAAACATTTGAATATCGAAACTAAATTTACACATATAAATATAAGCATATAAATATAAACATAATTTGAAATATATATACATAGGTTGACATAGATAAACATAGTAGATATAACATTTGACTATAGAATCTAAATTGACACATATTGACATATATAAATATAAACATAATTTGAAATATATATACATAGGTTGACATAAATTAATATAGTAAATATAACATTTGAATATCGAATCTAAATTGACATCTGTTGACATATATAAATATAAGCGAAATATTGTTCATTAAATACAATAGAATTTGCAAAAGAATTTAACGTGCATAAGTTGATAAATACATATGCATTAATTGGCTATATTTTCAGAAAATAAAATTTGATGTAATTTAATTTAACATAAGTAAAAGTCTACTGTGAAAAGTTCAGTGAATTTAACTTGAGAGTCTTG